GGCTTTTTATAGCAGATAACCTTAAAAATATTCTGCAGTAGAACAAAAACGGAAGAAAACCATGAACCAACATATAAACATTACCTGATGCTGCTTAAGTGAAGCAGAGCAACGTTACAAAGGTTTGATTAGAAACACAGCAAAGCATTTTTCAATTTTGCATCATTTTAAAAAGTTTACATTTCTTTAGTATTGAACAGCAGACATGAGAGTTTCTTCACGGAAGTCAGTTAAATTTAAGCAAGCAATAATGCAGAAAACAGATTTTTAGATGGGAAACTGTTCTTGAAGTACACTGAGGGGGGAGGGGGGTGCAGGAAGTGTGATTTTATCATGGTGGAAGCAAAACACCAAAAGTCAGAGGGAATTCATGGCGATGTTTATGTGAAGCGAAATCTGAAGCGCAGTTTGGATCGTCTTTGGCTGCTGGTTTAATCAACTTTGGTTGGAGAGTGATGAAACCTGCAGCTTCAGACTCGAGCACAAAAAAAGTCGTAAACACAAAGCGCGGACCCGCCGACGCATCAGAATCAGTGAGCTGTCGGCCCCGATGGCGTGTCCGTGTACCTGCCGTCGGGTGAGAAAGCGTCGGGTCCGCGCTTTGTGTTTACGTCTGATTACGTCTGACAACTGATTTAGCTGTTTAGTGGTTGTCGAAATTTAGTGAGGTTTAACCTGAGATTCTCGTGTTTCGGGCAAAATCAATGTATATTTAAAAAGTCAGCAATGTTTTCTCCCCAAATCTCTGGCTTGTGCCACCTCCCCCCCCAAGTCTAGGATCTGCGGATCATTAAAATTCAGGACAAAGATGTAGAAGAATCTGGTTGCTGCTTGGTGGCTCTCAATAATTCAGGGACCGTCATCTGATACTTTTGTTTGCCAGTGTGTGTATTGGTGAGGTGGATGTTCTGTGTGTGCCCACTATGGACAGATTGAACCCACTGAGCTGGATACATTTCGAACTCCAGTTACCTCTCTGGCTACTTAACAGTGATATGAACCAGTAAGCTCTGATACTGTTATCAGACATGAGCACACATTCAAGCTATACAATAGTAGAGTAACAGTAAAGCTGCCAAGTAAAGTAAGCCTATGTAAATAAAGGTGCATAACATTGGAAACAAAATATGTTATTTCAGTATAACTCTATACTGAAACTATATTAGCTCTTCAGATTATATTAACATAAAAAGGTCCATGATGCTTGTTTTGAATGCTGGAAATGTTGGTGTGAGTAAACAAGCATCTGTTACCCTCACCCGTTTACAAATGACTTCAGTCACACTGATTCTGAATAAACCATGCGCACAACAATTTGGATGAACGTGGTATGGAAATTCAATTAAAAATGCATGCTGCACCTACAGATCCATAGCTGCTGGAACGTTGCATTTGCATGCATGCCACAGGAAATGTCATGTGATGAGCATTGTGCCATTAACAAAGGCTTTCAAAGGTGTTAGAGAACATAGAGTTCAAGCTCTACTGGCTTCATGCAGGAAAAGTTAGACTTTCCACAACCAGTGGTATAAAAGGGTCCATTTAGGTCAGAATGACATCCGAGGGTCAACGTGAAGCTCTGTGAGGTCTTTTTCCATTTGTTTGCGGCACTTCTGCACTAACTACACACACTTTCTGAAAGTGGAA